GAGGCCACTTGTAATTATATCAACAATAATTACATCCAGACAACCAGGTATTTTTTATATTTACATATTTTTCTTTTTTAAGACATATTCTTACAAAAACCATTTGCCCTGCCTCAAAATACATTTCAGGCGGCCATTTTGTTTGTTTACATATTCCTACACCTGAAACAGGCAGTTGTAATTATAGTCGAGCAGTTGTAATTATAGCCTATATAATTACACTTGCCCTCTAACACTGTTGTAATGGGACGGCGCGGGGGCAAATGTAAATATATATGTAATGTCAGCTAATCAACAGTAGGGTAGTACCATATATATAAGGTCAGCTAATCAACAGTAGGTTAGTTCCATATATATAAGGTCAGCTAATCAACTGTAGGTAAATAAATTTCTTATGTTGGTTTCTATAAATTTATTGCTTTGAAGACAATAAATTTGTCACGTACTTGTTATGATTTGTAATAAATCATAATATTTCCCCACATATTCCTAAAATTGTCATTTTTGCATATTAATTAGCGGCATTTTACTACAGGTCATATCCTTACGCCCCATCTGATATGGTAAACAAAACACATATGCATACAGAACATGTCAATTTCCTTGGAATATTTTTTATTGTGGTAGAAACAGGTCACACAAACTCGTGGTTGTTGTAACTTTTGAAAAATAACTAACTTGAGTGAAAGAAATATCATATACAACAACCACTCGTTGTGTAACCTCTATTTATACATATAAATAATTTTCAAAACATATTTTCTTTGGCTTTCCAACTTTAAAGCAGGTACAAGTGAATTTTTGTTACTTGATTACCAGCCAGATTTGCAAATATTTTATAAGGCTAATTTAATTTTAACAACAACCCTGTCCAAACCTTTCCTTGAAATAAATAAAGCTCACCTGACCGAACCTTTCCTTGAAATAAATATAGCACACCTGCCCGAACCTTTCCTTGAAATAAATATAGTTAACCTGCCGGAACCGTTCTTTCCTTGAAATAAATATAGCTCACCTGACCAAACCTTTCCTTGAAATAAAAATAGCTCACCTGCCCAAACTTTTCCTTGAGATAAAAAAAGCTCACCTGTCCAAACTTTTCCTTGAGATATGTATAGCTCACCTTCCCAAACTTTTCCTTGAGATATGTATAGCTCACCTGCCCAAACTTTTCCTTGAGATATGTATAGCTCACCTGCCCAAACCTTTCCTTTAAAACGCTACATGTCTGCTTAT